TTTCTTAGTTTAGACTGAAATTATAGCTTATTAAACAGGGTCTTATTTAAGGGGTCTTCTTAAATGGCTTCCTTTTTCCTTTAGATAAAAGACTACTTTTCAGTAGATGTGGTACAGTATGATTTATACAAATTATGCACATTTTATCTAACATGCAGTCCATGACTCCATGATGCTGGAAAACAGTGCTTACAGTCATGTAGTATTTTCGCTGAAGAAATACGATTGTCTGTTGTTGTGTTCATATACCGTAGACATGTTATTTATCTGAATGAAATTTCCGGGGTTTATTTCCATTACTTTGTGAAGAGCTTATTTTCTTTGATTTATAAAATTTTTAGTTTTGACTACATTTGATAAAATAAGAACCTGCTTTGAAATTCTAGCCTAAACAGGTTCTTATTTAAAGGTGCATGGTCAAAATAAATTGGTTTAGCTGAACAGGCTCGTAAATTCTCGGTTCTTATCTGCGGGGTTTTGCTGTATAGGGCCTCTGTATATGTAGAGCTCTCTGTAACTCGCCTCCTCTAATGGCCTGAATGACTTGATTCAAAACTGCATAATTTGCGATGTGAAACACGTGGTTTGGTGATGTCGCAATTGCCAACAGTTCGCTCTGTCGGATGTTGTACGTAATTCCCAGAGCAAATATAATCACTCCAGCACTTTTCAACTGTCCTGCCGGGATCCCGGGAGTGACCCCGCGGTTGGATTTGCCATCTGTTAGAACAAAAACCACTTTTCGGGCACCACTTCTCGCTCCGGCTGCCGCGTTGAAGATAAGACTGTTACGAACATATTGTAGGGCAGTGCCTGTTGCTGTTATGCCGCCGGTGTATCTAGTGAAATAAAAGTAACTTTGAACTTTACAAAAAAAACCTGTAAGAAAAGTATAGTGTTGTGCACCAGTGTTAGCGACATAAATACTAGGTCGGCTGACACGCCTATAAAAGGTTTGAAAAGGGCATTGTTGTGGGGTAAATGGTTGATTCCAGCTGTAGACAAATTTTTTATCTAGACGAGAGGAACCAAATCCATTACCATAGCTGGAAAGAGCATCTTAAAATGAGTAAAACTGCAAAGTTTGGTTGCGAATTGTTGTAAAATGAGGAAAATCTAGCCCTGTGTAGTTCGCAAGTTCCGTATATATTTGCATTACGCGCGTGAAAGATAACCATTTTTGAGCCGAAAGTGCTTACTTTTACCGCACGTTATAAAAATATATACTAGAAATACATGCATGCAACAACCCATCGCCTATATTTTCCAAATATTTTTTCACCATGAAGTATTCGTAATTACGCCAACACTGAACGCAGGCTCGCGTAGCACGTCATGTTAGTCATGGCAACACGATAATTGTTTTTTGTATCTGAGAATGCTGCGAATGCAGATATATTGCTATCGTGCCCGTACCGGAAGTTTGTAACCGTGCTTCCGTACCAGCCAATCAGCGACAGCGCATAGATGAAATGACGTAATGATAATAATTTCAAAATGGCGGTTTACTGAAGGGTGAAACAAAGGGAAATTTGTGCCAGTTAAAATTAAACATCAAACGCAGTCAAAACAACGTCATTTTACTAGTTTGAATATGGCAAAGGTCGAGAGTTTTGAAGGGTTTCATCATTTAATACGCAGTGCAAACGAAATGATTCGCAATTTTTATAGACAAACAAATTATTGACATTGAGATACTATTATGAAACTATGAAAGTAATGATTCTTCCACATGTTACCATTGTATCGGTGTATATCGAGTGTAAGTGAATAAATTATGTCTTTAGTTGCTCGTGGAAGTATTCATCAGAGCAACTCTCTAGTGAACAATCGCGAGGGAAACAATACTCGTTTATGTGTTTATCGGCGCTCTCAACTGCTCAAGCCATGCCCGTTTTTCAGTGCACCGCAGGTAAATTAGATAATGCTTCATAGTTTGCCTCATTGGGCTGTACTTCATAGTTTGCCTCATTGGGCTGTATTTCTGCCTTCATTGCGCTGTATTTCTACCTCATCAAGCTGTATTTATTTGTGTCTCAATGGGCTGTATTTGTGCCTCAATGGGCTGTATTTGTGCCTCATTGACATTGGGCTGAATTTGTGCCTCGGAAAGATAAGGGCGAACATAAAAAAAGTACAAAAAGTCCGCAAAAACGTAAGTTCTAACAAAATTTTTATGTTGCCACGGTGAAAACGTCACACCATGCACACCGTTAGAAAATTTACCCTCCCACCCAAAACGTCAATATGACGTTTTGCGTGGCAACATGAATGCCCCCCTTCCCCCCCCCCATTCTTTAACCACAGCAGTTGCTTGTTTTAATATCTATTTTAGGTTTATTTTTCTTCGTTTCGAGTAGTTTGAAAGACTTTTAGACACTTTTTGCGATTTGAAACTCCGCTCTCGTCGCAGCTTCGAAGGGGCAGTACGGGAAAATCCTGCGTCGTCAGCAGCCAATTAAATTGCGCGATTCATCAAAACAAATGCTTGCCATATAATAAAAAGTCATAATAAACAATTGAAACAAACTTGCCCTATACTTTAGGATTTCTCATACTAAATCAATTCTTATAAATGTTTACGTTTAAAAATTGTAAAAAAGTTTTACAATTTGTTATATGTGAAACGATTTTCCAAGCTTTCTGACATGTATTTTCTATATTTTTTGCCTCTTGACGCCTGGCAAACAGCCATATTTTGAGATCAGTGAGATGACCACCCACCATTGGCATTGAACTAAAAATAACGATATAGGCGATATCGCCTATATATATATATACATATATATACACTGGATCCAGAAAAGTTTGACCTTCGAATATATATATATGTCGGCCATTTTGAATTTTCTTGGGTTAATTATACGCGAACGCATACATCAAATGTCGCTCGCAACGTACTGTATATTGCAATATTCCAACAGCTCAAATAAGTAGAGGATCATTGCTTGAAGTTCTTACACATATTTGTAGCAGCTATCTAATGAACATTTGAGGGTTGTTAGCTAATTAACTCTTGTCACAATTTGGAACCTGATCTTTTTGGCATGTCGTAATTTATTCTTTTGCATCCTTAGAGATTTAGACGCTTATTAGCATGCCTCGATGATTTTCTTTGTTTATTCTTTCGTATTCACTTGTGCTTATTTTATAGCTGTAACCTACGTCCAGAATTATATTAAAGATTTAATTTGGCAACCTAGAACGGCAACGACAACTGCAACGGGGAAAATATAATTGCTTATATTGTTGTATTTGAGCCAAAGTATACGTTACTACACTTAATTTGCCTCATTAAGTATTCCTGTTTCTTTCAAACGTACCCTTAAATAAAAATAGTCCGCGAATTCAATAAAACTCTCAAATAACAACGAACGAATGAATTGTTGCCGTAGTCATGCACCGTGAAAATGATGCAAATCACGTATTAGTTTCAACAACTACGGCATTGCACAACGCTTAAGACCATGTAATTTATACATTCGCCTTTGTCTTTGAGGATTAATGCTATTGTTAATGACCATATTGCCGTTGCGGTTGCCCTTGTATTTGCCGAACTCTCTATTATATTTTGCCAACGGAAATTTTAACGGAATCGATAGTCATTCGATATTTCATCCCCTGAAACTCAGCACACGCAGCATTCGTGACCTGGCGAAGCAGAAACGTTCATTTCCTACTAGCCATTATGTTCATTTCCAAATGTTCATTTCCTACTAGCCATTATGATTATGTGCAAAGAAATCAATCAATGATTCTTTTATTCATTTGAGCTGTTGGAATAATATTGCAATATACAATACGTTACGAGCGACATTTGATGTATGCGTTCGCGTATAATTAACCCAAGAAAATTCAAAATGGCCGACATATATATATATATTCGAAGGTCAAACTTTTCTGGATCCAGTGTATATATATATATATATATATATATATATATATATATATATATATATATATATATATATATATATATATATATATATATATATATATATACACTAAAATGATAAACCTCTCTTTACAGGTAGTTTACCAGTGTCTACTTGAATTCACACTCTACATAAAAAAACAATATTTGTATGACATTAGTTGTGGGTTATCCCATTCTTTGTCACGCTTACAAAATATATAATACGAGGACCTGATACATATGTTAATAATTTTTTGAACATAGTACTTTCTACATTGTTCATCAAACTTTAGATCCTTCAGCATTTCGGTGAAATCTAGCGACGGGTGGCTGAAAACTCCTAATGAGCTAATCGATAAATTTAAAAATTTCACTTTTTCATAATTTTTGAGCTGTTCGTTAATTAGATCTTGATATTTTTGTCTTTTTCGAGTTGCATTAGTGAGGAGATTAGATTCAAATCCGACAGTAAGTTCAAGTATATAAATACATTTGTTTTCAAGTGTTATCAAAAGATCAGGGCGCAATTCATCTCCGGTGATAACAGATGGACTGATATAGCCAGGAAGGTCAGCATAAAGGTTACAATGGTTCACAGATTTAAATATGGATGCTATGAAGTTAAGCACCGAATCATGACGCCACGTGAAACGTCCTTCATTTAGGTAGGTCTTGCATCCAGCGACGACGTGAAGAAGTGATTCTGGATTCAAACAAAACGAACATTCGGATGTTGGTGATATTCCCCATTTCAGAAGGTTTTTGCGAGTCGGAAGAGTGTTATTTATATACCGGATAGTAAAGTTAAATATATTCTTGGGAAGTTTACTCTGAACGGAAGACCATATAGAGTTGAATGAGAGTGTAGAATGTTTAATGATATTGGAGAAAAATGAGCCTTGTGAAATGAGGTGGTGTTGAAGCCTGTCTTCATGTTGTTTCCTGATGGTGTTTAATACGTCCTTGGTGTTTTTGTATTTGTCATACTGTACATTTTTGTGATTGCTAGTATCCTTCCAAAGGTTATTGATCGCTTGATTTGGCGACGACTTTAGGGCTTTCCGAGAAACAGTTTGGCATTGAAGGAATTTGGTTGAAGGTAGAATGATATTTAATCCAAATTTATTGTGGGGAAGTAGGACGTTACTAAGGGTTGCAGAAATAGGAAGTTCAAGCCATTTTCGGATATACGTGGACGCGATACTATCTAGTTTATCGTTAACCCAGGTTTTGCCTATGTCAGAAACAGTGAAATGCCAAGAGATTTTGGAAAGCACATAACGACTATATAAGAGAATTTTGTTTTTCGGATGTAATGGTAGATCATCAATTTCATTCAGGATATTAGTAAGTGTGTCATATACTTCAGATTTGTGATCTTCGTCGGACATGTTGAAATCAAAATAGCGACCTAAGTAGCGAAACGATTTACCAAGTTCAACACGTGGTACAAGACAGTTATTTATAAATAGTTTTTGGAGATATTGAATGGATTTGGTTACTTGTTTCCTAATGCCAAATGTTGAACATTTGTCTACACGTATTATCATTTGAGCCCACTGACACCAGATTGTAAAGCGATTGAGGAGCATTTGGTTTTCTGTTTCTTGGCCGCTAACAACAGCCGCGTCGTCGGCAAACTGGAACCAATGAAGAGGATTTAATGGGGTACCGTTTTCGCTGGATTTCCAAAATCCAAATTGACGGTATTTTTCCGATTTGATATGTTGGATAAAGGTATTGAAAGACATGTTGAATAAAAGAGGACTGAGACAATTGCCTTGAAGGACGCCACGACCGACTGTAATGAAGGAAGTATTGAACTGTTCAGTTATTATGGAAGTTTGGAAATCAGTATAAAGGCTACCGACAAGATTCTTTATGTGATCGGGAATGTGGTGATATTGAAGGACTTCATAAATAAG